CATGGGGCAGCCCAAAACACACCATCCAGCCATGAGCCCTACGGCCACCCTGGGCATGTGGCCTGTGAGCATCCTCCACGCCAAGGCACGCCGGCTTGGACCAAGCCCGTGCCTGGGGACCAAGGCCTAGGGCCCAAGGCCCGGGGCCTGACTGAGGCACCATATCCCCAAAATGTTGTGAGAAGGGAAGGAAATACAAATGACGAGTGTTAGTCACACTCTTTAGAGCTCACAGTTCTTCAGCAGCTCCCTCCGGGGTTTGGGCCGTTCAGAGCCAGCACAGCAGGAGCGGAGGCCGCCTGCGATGCCCTGCGGCAGCAACGGAATTCTTCAGGGGTGACCCCTGTCACAAGCCATCACACACACAGCCCAAAGTACAAAAAATGCTGGGTAACCTCCTTCACAACAGTAGCCATTCCTATCAGCATTTTCAACAAGAAAAGGCCTGCTGCCCTTACCCTGGGCACCCAGTCGGCCTGCCTGGTCCCTGCCGGCATTGATCCCCAGCTGGTGGGATTTTCTGTGGCAGGGCCAAAGGGCCAAGGCCTGCGGTGGATGCAGACGCCCTGTGGAGTTGATTGCTGTCATGTATTAGCACTCTCAGAATAGTTTTCCATCAAATGGATGGAATTTTTGTGGTTTTCTCTGAGTTCTTATCCCCTAAGACACTACTTCGTGCCTCCTTCCCTCTCTGCCTGAAGCTGAATGTACTCTTTTCTTACCTGCCAACTTTAGTATTCCAATTAATTTGTTAGAAACAATGGACTTAAATTGAGAATGACTTTTGTACAGTCTTCTCTTCAGATTCCATTTTGTAGAGTACTTCCTGTTTTCTTTCAAAGAGTCTCATACAAACACAGACTAAAGTCGTGTCCCTTTAAAAAGAAGGAGGAAAATAGGCATTAATGATCACACCTGTAGGGTAGAGAAGTGAGAGGCTGTTCTGCCAGGAGGCAGAACTGATAAAAGGCTGCCATGCGTACTTAACTGTTCTGGAAAGGGGGATGTTAAGCTTCCTAGGCTAAGGGTAGAGATGAGAGGTAAAGGTGAATAATGGATTCTCCACAGTGTGAGCAGAGGACCACAAAGGTCTCTCTAGCAGAGATTCTGAGGTGCTTTGAACACCCTATAAGCGAGGAGCAAGCCTGGGCTATCTGCTTTCAGTGTTGCCGTAAGATGGAACAGTTGGCTCAGGGGCTGTGCCCGCCACTCCATGCTGTATTCATAAAAGGTCCTGGAAGCATCTTTCTCCATGCTGATGGTACTGCTTCCTTCAAGGTGTACCACAAGTCTGGTAAGAGTGTGGTAGCTGTGGGTGCCAAGGGCTGTTCCTGTAACAGGCTGAAATGTGGGGACAGAGTGGGGATTATTTTTTTCCTCTCTCTGTTGTCATGAGGTTATTCTGCTGCCTATACTTCATTTCAAAGGACTGTAGATGAGTAGTTAATACAGATATATGACCCACTAATTTTTCTAATAGTGCTCTAGTGAGTCATTTGGTTCTAGAGAATAGCTGGTGTGAAAGTTTGTTACCACTTATGTTATTTGAAATAAATAGTCTGAGGCTTTATTATATGTCCTGCTCTGTTCATCTTCCAATGTAAGGTTCCTTTGGTATATTAACTCTTACAACAGATCTGTGTTCTACAGTTTCCCTTTTTTATCACCACGTGTAGCCAGCTAGTGGCAACAAGCTTGTCTTATGGGCCACTTGGTTGCACGGCTGCAGAGGTCATTGACCTAGGCTAGGCTAACTCTTCCGGGACAAGAGCAGGTAAAAGATCCAGTGCCTTCCTTGTGGTTAGACAACTACTAGCAAACAAAAAAGTACCCAGTAGCAGTTAGTTGGGGGCTAATACTCACAAATAAGAAGAATATCTTGTATTGCTTTCCAGGAGTCCCCAAATACAGGCCTACTTTCTGTAGGTGGGACTGACCTTAATCAGAGGGATTTGTTTCCTTATTACCAAGAATTCTTCCTGTTTCTCTCTTGAAAGGGCTTCTAAAAGCTGTTTATAAATGCCCATGCAGTTATCTTCCCCCCCTCCTCTTTTTTTTTTTCCCCTTTCAGATGTTGGGAGCATTCAGCAGTCAGAGGACAAGGTAAGCCTGTTTCTTCACCTTCGTTATGTGTGCAGGTATAAACCTGCTGTAGTAGAAGGCCAGCTCAGGAGATGCAGATGTTTTTGGAATCTATCAAGGTACTCAGATTTGCTGTGGTCTGTGAGAATGACTCTGTCTCCTGCAATCTGGAAAATGAAACAAAATGCTAGGACTGAACTCAAGTAAGACAATGGGACTGGGTAACAATGTGCACTGACGCTGCCTGCTGTGAAATAGCCCACAGTCTATTTGTCTTAGTAACAGATAGCTTGGAAGTGCTATATAGGCCATTTAAATGTCTTTAAAAGCTTATTTAGGAAGCATCTCGGGCTGCCTGATGAGCATCTAGCTGCCTTTTGGGGAGAGGGGTGCTCAGTGCTGAGGGGCAGTGGAGGGTACGCACGCGGCTGGAAAGTGAGAGCTGCGAAGTTTTCCACAATGCTGTGCTGCACTGCTCCCTTGGTCTCTGCAGCTGTTGGAGTACTTGGGAGTGGTGATCTATGAAGCCCTGGACTGGGGAATCGACAGCCAAGTGGAGCGAGAACTGAGTGACCCTTTGGAGAAGCTGCTGTGCCTCATGTTGAAACTGGATGATGAGGCAATGAAACCAGCAGTCACCCTGCAGGATGTTATCAAGGTTTCCTTCTTCCCACTTAATAAATACAGCAGCTTGAGAGGAAAAAGATGGGTAGCTTGTTGGAGGAGATAGAGGGGGCACGTGCTTTTCCCATCAGAGGGGAAAGGCAAAACTGGTTTAGGTGTGTGCAAGTGTCTATGGAAAAGACTTGAAAAGGGAGACTGAGCATGGCTCTCACACAGCTGTGTCTACAAAGTCCTTCTGTACATAGTCTTCAAATTCAATACCCAGAAGGCTATGGATAGTGAAAAAAAGTCACTTGTCCATAATATCCCATTTCTGCAAGAGCTGGGATTTGAATGTCTCAACTCAGACAAGTATTTTCCTCTCAACCATAATCTAAACGTATGAGAAACTTCCCATCCCTCAGCCTGATTGGGGCAGGGGAAAAGAACAGGGCAAGTGACTCCACCTGCTGTAGGGTTTTTGTGTGCTGGAGGCTTTCCCATCTGGGTACTTAGTTCAAAGCACACTTTATGGAGAACAAGATCTATAAATTAAACAGCTACGTACATTATCGTACATACAAGACTGGACATCTTGCTGCTTTGTTCCTCTGCATCTGCAATAGAAAAAAGAAAAAAATGTACAAAGGGGCTGTGAGGAAGATGTTTTTTAACCATGGATTGAGAAAACTGAATCTTGCTTTATTCCACTCTATCGTGTTTCTTCATGTCAAGATCTCTCTTAAACAGCTGCGCTTCTTTCAGGTCTGTGAAGGGCACTTGTCCAGGCCTTCAGAGGCTACCAGCCACTATGAAATGACCTGTAAGACTCTGTTCACCGAATATATGGAACTTCAGAAGCTTGTGACCATCATCCAGACCTCCAAAGAGGTACATTTGGGATCACCCCTTAGCTACTCCTTCCCTCTACCGTCACACACTCACCTAGTTCTAAAGTAACCTTCCTGTAGCACTAGAAACTGAATACCTAGCTGAAGGTCTATTTTCACAATGTGAAAGGCTACTGTTTCTGCACCATGTTAGTAATTTATTGTAGCTTTTGCAAGTTTGGGTGTTTGGGGCTTCTAGGCTTTTCAGATTAATGTTAGTAATTTATACTGGATAGACAGGGAATCACTGAACAGTGCAAGGTAATGGCTTCATGTGCTTACTTCTCAGAGTCTGAGGAAAATGGATGTGGAAGATTTGGTGGAGAAACCCCTTCAGAAGAAGGAAGAACACCAGGTAAGGGACTTAATCCCTTACTTATGGGGGGGGTTAGGTTTTTTGTCTACCCTGGCTCTCTTGAGGCTTTCCATTGACTCTTCTATGAAAAGTAGAGCTTGAACACAAATCAAACTTCTTCAGTTGTTCAAGAGCTTAAGTAGTTAAAGACTTGGCTGCAAAACAAGCTGTGGAGTGAACTCCAAGTTAAACCATGTCACGTGTTAACCTCATGTAGACATTTATTCTACATAAAGATTGTCTTTGTGGCTCAACTGAAACCACTTCTAAAAAGGAAGTTGGAGGCAGTCTTTGGAGTAAGTATCCATGAGTAGTTACTCAGGCTGTTTTTTCCTGCCCAAACTCCAGTGTTTGGCAGATACTGACACCTGCCAAAAGCAATTGGTTCCTTTCTTGTCGCTGGACTGAAAACTCCCAGAAAACTGTTCTGTTAGTGGTAGTACTGGGGTGGACTGGTTCACTCTTTTTATGCGGGGTGTGTGCTGGTTCAGGGCTGGAAGGGACTGAAGGCCAGTAGCTCTGTCCATCTTTGTGGTTGTGCAGCTCGAGGGGTGAAGGAGGGTGAGGTTGGAGATGTAGCTCCTACCTTCTGCTCACTGCCTTTCTTCTCTTTCCATTCCATCCTTCCATAGATCTGGAACTGTGTGTTTGGGGCAGAGAAAGCAACTTATTCCGTTCTTCTCCAGGCTCTACAGAGTCAGGGCTCAGTCAGAAACAAATAGCTCCTCTGGCTAGAGCTCTGCCCAGCATAAACAAATGCACTGTAGTCTGGAGTCTGTGGAGACAAACGGCAAGCCCCGAGAGACTTGTGGACTCGCTCCCTTTGTCTAAATAGCACTCACTTTGAAGCGTGCTCAAACTATTCGTATGAAAACGTTTGTGAAATGTGTGTTTGGGCATATTCTCAGTTTTGTGATCTATTAAAATAAACTGGCAAGCTATTTCAAACCACAAACTCATCAACTGCTATAGCTCTTTTCTGCAGGGAATACATGAATAAATACATGGGCTTTGCCGTGTGGCCTGGAGGCCAGTGTATTTGGCCTCTGCTCCTTCAGGAGACATGAATTCCAAAAGCAGGATGTCTGTTGCAAATCCTCTGCCTCTAGTTTCTAAATCCCTAAGCACTGGTTGATTGCATCGCTCTGACAAAGTTTTGGGTTTAAAATAGCCAGGATGCCAACTTTACTGGGTTCCCAAGGTTAGTGCTGATGCCTTAAGTGGTGCCAAGCAGCCAATGCTCTCTATGGACCAAGCTTTTTCATGTTTACTGCTGTGAAACAGGCCATCTGAATCCTAGACCGCAGCCTGATAGTGTGCAGGGTTGCACCGTTTCAGCAGAGTTTATCCGTGCATGTCACAAGGCAATCTTCACCTTGAAATCCAAGCGATGTGACCTCTCAGGAGCACAGCTGTCTTATCACTCATCAGCTGAGTGCAGCGGGTTTGGAGTGTTGCAGCATTTTGTGTCGTATTGCAGAGGTGTGGGAAGTTCACGTGGAGTTTGACAGCACGTGGCATGGCCCAAATAGAATAATTGCAGTGATCCAGTCACTAGGGAAGGAAAAGTACGAGTGATAATGCTGTCAGCTATATTTGAAAAACGTTTTGGGTGTACAAGTTGTTGTGCAATGGCCAGATGAAGGCAATTCTTCTACTGAAATTAATATTACAGTACAGAAGTCTCTCTTCAGGTCATATCTTCTAATCAAGTTCAGTCACCATGTGAAATACAACTCCACAAAGTTCAAATGGCTCAGGATAAGCTATTTCAAAAGTCTCTGTATGGCTGGTATACGGTCACACTTTGCAGTTCTAGCTCGCTGGAGCTCAGGTGTGACTGTACCCAAGCTGGGCTAAAACGATCCAACAAAAAAATCCATCTCCTTGAAGGCAGCCATCAGTCAGAGCTTGCATATGACTCTGCTGGTATTACACCAAGATACCTGAAGGGATAAGTTGAGAGAAGATGCTTCATACTGTAAGTGGAAGAGAGAGAGGAGAAAGCTCATTCTGAGGCATTTTTCTAAAATGTTTTGCTTCCCTTTCACTGTTTATAATACAATGGCTTGTTCTTACTCAATTTGCCGTTGGGATCCAGATAAGCTGTTGATTTAGCACTTCCATTACAATGTTGTCAAAACATGCTATTCAGTTGATTATTTTTTTTTCCTTCCTTTAACTTTTTGTCGGGTTATACTGCATGCCTGAGCATCCTCAGATATTAATACAGGAACAGGATGAGCAGATGTCGGAGTTATCAGCTTGTGTCTCCAGGCTGGAACTGCTAACGTATGCTGCTGCGAAGGTTAAAGTGAGAGGTCCCTTTCCCCTTCTCTTCCTGTTTTGTCTGGGCCCTTCAGTCCTTGGTTTCTGAAAATTCAGAGGATTTTAATGGTAAGATTTGGGATTTCATTCCCAGTGTTTCCTAGGATCCAATAATATAGGATAAAACCTCCAGCATCCAGGGCACTCGCAGGAAGTAGGTATTCAAGAAAATGGGTCTAGCTACCTGGCAGCAGAAGCTGTGTTTTGCTGAAGTACGTTCATAAAGTTAATGACAAAATTTGGGAGGGAGGGGATGCTGCTCCATGCGTTCTAGCCTGCTGTTGACTTAGCCCTCCCTGGTTTCTCCGAGGCATCCCTGTGGCCCAACGTCATCTGCGAACTGCAGAGCGGCGTGAGGCTGCGCAAGTCCGCTGAGCGACCGCCACGTAGTGTGCCTCCAAAAGAACGGATCCGCTCTCCCTGTGAATTACTTTTGGATGATATTCGGCACCAGCGGTACACCCTTCGGAAGGTGAGTGACTGGAGTCAAAG